GCGTCATTCATTTGACCTCACCATGTCAAAACAAAGAACCAACTCGATTCACACTTCGTGTATCCGGAAGCCCAGATGCTGCTTCTCGTGGACTCGCCGGCGTAGGTATAGCATTGAGTCCTAGGGCAGAACTAGCTCTCTTAGACTGAATCCCAGTAAACAGTCGTTTGTGCGCTATCCGACTAAACGCAACAGTAAGGATCCGAAAAGATAGGGACACTCGTCGTTGCCTCTTCGTTGTCTCTGCCTATTCTCCCATTGACTGCAGCACAGATGATGTAAAAGATGAGTTTTACAGAAAGCTCTCCGACCTTCTCCGAAAAGCTAGGCGCTCGGATGTAGTAATAATGGCCGGTGACTTTAATGCTCAAGTAGGTAAACTAAGCGATAGGGAAAGACACCTAGGTGGATCTTATAGCATCGTGGCTCAAAGAACAGATAATGGCGACCGTCTGTTGCAGCTATGCTCAGATAACCGCCTCTTTCTTGCAAATACTAACTTTGAGCATAAGCAAAAACATCTTTTAACATGGCGACCCCCTAATTCGTCCCAACGTTGGACCCAAATAGATCACATCGCTATCAGCCACCGATGGAGGGACTCGATAGAAAAGTGTCACTCATTCTGGAGCACATGCTTAGATTCAGATCATGCTCTAGTACGAGCGCGTATCTGTCTGCGTCTTACTGGACGTAGGAAAGACGCTGCAAGGAAACCTCTTAGGGCCCTACTTAATGATAGTCAAGCTAAGAGTATATTTCAGGAACAACTAGGAAAACAGTTAGGCAGCCATGTATGTGATGCCCACCCCGAGGCAGCATGGAATGATATCCGAAAAGCTGTGGAAACAGCAATGATATCTGCCAGTAAGGTAAACCGTAAGGTTAGGGAGAAACACTGGATCTCAGCAGCATCTATCCCACTGATAGATGCTCGGAAACTCATTCCACCTGGCTCTGAACATAATGAGGAGCGTAGTCAGCTTAAGCGCAAGCTGACAAGAAGTCTACGCAATGATCGTGAACAGTGGTGGGTAGTGAAAGCAAGAGAGATGGAAAAGGCAGCGGCAATAGGTAATAGCAGACAATTGTTCAGACGTGTTAAGGAAACCGACTGTTAGCGAAACACTCTCACAGAAAGATGGATATGTTATACATTCTCAATCCAGGAGATTGGATCGATGGGCAGAACACTTTAGGGATCAGTTCAACTGGCCTTCAGCCACACTTCGGTTTCCCACGATCTCTAGTCAACCTGAATGGCAAGTTAATGTAGGTCCTCCGTCCCTTTACGAAGATGAAAAAGCCATAGGAAATCTGAAACGAGGGAGAGCAGCAGGCCCTGACAGGTTTACTCCTGAGATTTTTAAGGATGGTGGTCCAGTATTAGCAGTGAGATTAACTGAGGTCTTAGGTAGAATTTGGGAACTAGACGTAATCCCATCTGACTGGTCTCAATCACTGATTGTGCCAGTCTATAAGAAAGGACAAAAGTCCTCTTGTGACAATCACAGAGGAATCAGTTTGACTAATATAGTATCTAAAATATTAGCTTCAATAATATTTCGACGCCTAACTAAAGCTCGTGAAGAGCAGACTAGAGAAAATCAGGCTGGTTTTCGACCTGGACGTGGCTGTATAGACCACATATTCACACTATGTCAGGTTTTAGAACACAGACACACGTTCAGACGCCCCACAATCGTAGTATTCCTCGACCTTAAAGCAGCATTCGACTCAGTCGATCGTAAGGTTCTATGGCAGTATTTGTCACTGAAAGGAGTAGCAAAGAAGTACATTAACCTTGTAAAGGCTCTCTACTCGAACACAACTGGTCGAGTGAGAGCTTATGGCGAACTGTCATCACAATTGATTACCTCAAGTGGTGTTCGTCAGGGCTGCCCACTCTCTCCATTTTTGTTCAACTTTGTCGTCGACGTACTTTTAGAGATAACACTTTCCTAGTCTAAATTTCCAGGGGTTGAACTTCTACCGGGAGGTTCACTTGTTGACTTAGAATATGCTGATGACATAGTTTTACTTGGTGAAGACGCTGACAAAACGCAGTCTTATGACCACTCTAAGTAACAATGCAAGCATGTTCGGGATGCGATTCTCCCCCAAGAAATGCAAAATGTTGCTTCAGGATTGGGTTACATCGACACCAGAACTAATGATAAGGAGTGAAGTAACTGAGCGTGTCGATCGCTTCACTTATCTTGGAAGTCTCACCAGCCCTTGTGGTCTGGTGTGTGACGAAATCTCAGCACGGATACAGAAGGCTCGACTAGCTTTTGCCAACTTGCATCATTTATGGCGTAGGCGAGATATCCGTCTATCAACCAAAAGACGCGTTTACTGCGCAGCAGTTCGTCCCGTCCTTCTTTATGGCGGTGAAACATGGCCGGTAAGAGTAGAGGATATCAGTAGGTTACTAGTATTTGATCATAGGTGTCTTCGAAACATTCCTCGTATATCATGGGACCATCGAGTAAGTAACACAGTTGTTAGAAAACGGGTACCAGGTAAGTATGGCAAATCAGTTGATGAAGTAGTGAAACTTCATCAGTTGAGATGGCTGGGACACGTGTTACGTATGCCCAACCACCAACTGCCTCGATGTGCGATGTCCAGTGGTATAGGAGTAGATTGGAAGAAAGCTAGGGGCGGCCAGACCAAAACATGGCACAAGTCCATGAAGTCACTGACAAGTGGACTGAGTCATGTTGGTAGGTGCAGACTACCTGGTTGGGGACCGTGAGATGATAGCAACCGATGGTTAGAGACCCTGAATGACATGGCTCAAAATCGTTTGCAAGGGCGCAGGTGTATACACTCTTTGCGTTCTTCCAAATTCTAATCTCCTGGTTCCTCCTTGTCTCTTTTTCCTCTTTCCAAATTTATTTCACTGGATTATACTGTTTAAATAACATCTACAAACCCTAATCTTTCCGATTACTGCTTATACTCTTACTACTTCTACCCCTACGGGATTTGAATCGACAGCTGCATCTCTATGCTAATGTGGTATGGCAACTCGAACTGATGTACGTACGTACGAAGTTCCACGTTGTTACTGACTGACCGACCCAGTATCCTACGACTAACTTTGGCCAGGGATATTCAACCTCAATACAACTTATGAGAAGCAAACCAATATCAATTAGGTTGAGATTCTATTACGGCAAATTATTCAGTGCGAACGCATGGAGTTTTAAATCATTTTTACGATATTTTGTATTAGTGACAAATACTCAATTTAAGTATTCCAATTATTTCTTTAACTATATATAATTGATAAAACTTATTGCATTTCGGGATGATTATACTGGGCGAAAATGAAATAGCTTAATCTACAAAAACTGATGTTTTCACTCTGGTCACTGGGGCAGGAAAGAAAAGAGGATGTAAGTAGTGTTTTCTTGGTATTCAAGTCAGAGTTGCGAATTATTAGCAGTGCAAAAAATATTAGAATTGGTTACAAGAGATCTAAAAACGAAGTATTATCGAGATTACTGATCCCTATTGTCAGTACCAAACGAGTGCTGTGTTTATCAACATTATAACGAAAGACTATCCTTCATTAAAGAATAAGGTGATCAATTTAAACGCATCTAGTGAAATTACATATCTTTCCGAATAAGTCCTAAATTGCAATCTCCACCAATTAGTAATTTTTCGCAAACAAAAGATACTATGAGAAAACACAATCTTAAAGCAAAACAAAGTATGATGGTTACGGAACGTTAAAATTAACAACTGATAATATTGTCCAACATTTTCAAAAATGTCTGAATGTAATGAATAAAGCTCTAAATAGATTTCACGAAATGAAGAACAAAACATGAAAATCCTGATACTATCACGACAGTAAGACAAGATGCAAAAACAAAACAAAACTGAAACTTAAATTGACATGCTGTAAAACCTTATGTTCAACAGAACCAAGATGACCAAGGATATAGCAGAACGGATTATCTCTTATGTAGGAATAAGCAACCTCAAATGTATGTCAATATGTGGCTTTAGAAATTGTTGAGAAACTGTTGAAAACATGGTCATGATTTGACTGAGATCCAACAATCCCCATAACCCCATACTAACAATCATCATGTTCTCACTAGTGACTGACCCCGAGAGAAAATTTCAGAGGTTCTAGTGAGAATCCGTGAGCGCCAATGGAGCTAAACTGCGTCATATGTGGTAGTTAACTGCCGTAGACGATGGAAGGTGGTCACGCAATATCGTGGATTCATTGAAGTTAGACATTAGCACAAATGAATTCTGACTCAGAAGTCTAGAAGTCAGACGTCCACGCGCGAGCCTGAAGGTGTTGGACTCAATTTTCGAGTACGAGGCCGTGGGCGTGCGCTTCTGGGGTATCCCGTACCAGGACGAAAAGGCTGTCTAGTGCTTTCAGGGTCTCAATGGTGTTCAAATTTGGATCAGTTCATAATTTCAACGAAACTGAAAACACAACTTTCATTCTTCGTGAAGAATTTAAATGAAGTGAGTGTTAGGAATTATAGAATTATCTGTAAAACTCAACTCGGAAGCAGTACAGAAGCATGTGTAAATTTAAGATGCACACTTATAAACTGAAAATGATTGATACCGGTTACTGGTTCAAAATCTTGTTAGATAACTAAGAGTTAAAATCCATATGATACTGATGGACACTTAAACGTACCCAAAGAACAAACACAGATTAAGTTGCCCGACCGCAGCTGCCAACTTGACGTGGTGGTCGAGCCTGCCTATCGTGATGACTCAGTCGAGCTATATTGGCTGGAACAATTGTCTCTTCAGGTCCTACCATGCCAGACAGGTCGGGTGGAGAACGGTAAAACTAGAAGCAGCAGATTAAGGCCTGAGGGTGAACTTATACTCCTGACTGTAGAGGGCTGTGACAGTAGACAATCAGCATCTGCAGCGATGCTGCTTTTTGTGAAGGAATGAAGAGGTTGAAAAACGTCTATCATAAAATTGTCACACCTCACCTCACTCTACAGATTTCCATCTGCAGGAGTAAATTTGTTTGAAACGCGTACCATAAGAAGGTCGTGCATGACCGCCCCCAAGCGGTCGTCCTTGGTCATTACTCTTAGATCGCTAAGACCGACGTTAATCCAGCTTCTTTTTCAAATATCTTAAGAAATATCCTTCCACGGTGTGGGCAAGCAGGAGGTGACAGCTGCCATCGTACCTCTAACTGCATCTGACATCATCATGTCCAAATTAAGCTACGACAGAAAGCTGCAACAATAAACCATTAAGAGCAATAGGGTAACTATAACAATGTACATTCTTTTTTTGATTTTGAAGAATAACATCAAAAAGATTGAAACACAATCAATGTAATCCAATCATACTGGGTAACATAAACTATACTATGGTTATCATGAACTTGGAATCCAAGAGGATGATAATGTCTGACATTCACGTTTACTTATAGTAAACTAACACTGTGAATACTGATTTCTTATCACACGCAATAAGAACCAACCGTCAGTGACTAACACATGTTATAAAATTAAGATGTGAACAGTGTTTCCACGAGTGTTAAAAACGTTTAACATTACATAAAACACTTATATAATTGAGTGTTAAGATGTAACTCACTTTTAAAATACAGTATAATAAGCATACAAATATTCTCCCAGCTAAGATGCCCTGTAGTTTCCAATTTAATTCTACCAGGAAATATATCCACAGAATCCCAGGTGGTATGTGTCTTAGGAATAAGAATATATATTCCAAAAAACAGAGTAATGAACCCTGAAACGAAAATGGCGTAAAATGGATACCAGAATGTATGAAAAGTTGGACAAACATGACTAGAATGTTTATTTGTTTATATAAGCATATACACATTGGTACAAGGAGTCACCACATGTATATGCGTCACACAAATAACTCAATTTGTACAAGAGCTGGAATATAGCTCGGGTGCCCAAACTGAAGCAGGTGGATTTCTTAGGGGGCTACACCCCGACCCTTCGACCTAAAGGTCTAATCCATAAGGCAGTGGAGCAACGTAATCAGATGCAGTCCCATGGTAGCCTGTGACTAACAATAGGTTCGTACGCCATTTGTTTCCTTAGGATCCTGGAGCTCATGTACACCATTGGTTTGGAATCAGAGTTTTCTAACTCCCCTAAGTGGGTCCTCCGTATCCACCAACTCATATAAAGTGCCGGCTTTTCGCCCTCTCAATTTCGCACCACGAGAAGGCAGTGACTAGAACGTACGTGCATTTACACAACAACCAGCTAGCGGAAGATGTTGTGTGCTCTAAATCTCATATATCTAACAGTAAGGTTATTAGACTGACAAGAAGTAACGAAAATTATCTCCATCTTGATTCTATAGTCATAAAATGTATTTGGGTGTGCATGAGCTCAATGCCATGAAGGGACCACTAAATGCTTGGTTAGAAAATTTTAAAATGCTACTTTTTTATTCGTGTCAAGTTTTTTGACCGACTGTTTTAATGATGAAAGTCAATACTGTCAAGTTTACCGCTAGTGCAAATTTTGAAGTGTATGTAATAATCGTTGTTAGCACACAAGAAATCAGTACTACTTTATGTAGATAACTTGAATGATATCAAGTAGTTGTATCATAAACTGACAAATTATTTCACTGGATGAAGGACTTAGAAATTTTTTTAATAACACACCTTAACTCAATCAGTTACGGAAATCAAACGACCGTCGAAACACAACCAAGGCCGATTGGTTGTATAAGAGTGAAGAAAACACACAATAACAACATTTCGTCTACAAGCATTACATTAGTTAAGGTCATAAAAGTTCTTGAATCTTACTACTTTACTAATTGACGTGTAGCAGGAAAGAATTTATTAAACAATTTTGGATTACCTGAGACCATTATTTAATCACATTACAGCAATGGAACTGTAGTTTGTAGAGTATATATTACGGTCAGATTGACAACCATTACCCCAACATACGGGTTAAGATTGACTACTATAACGAGAGTTCTAGTCCACTTTCTCTATGGAAAAGTTTTTAAAGCCATTTAAAAATTTGCTGTCATGAAGTTTCTTAAAGTCAATAAATCTTCACCATCCCATCCGATATTAATGAGAACTCTTTCCAAATGAACTTAATTATGATGTGCAACAGCACCGTTACTCACTAATAACTTGGAAAGAGTGGTGACTTAGAAGTTTGACCATTCGGGTTGTAACCAGTTGGTAACCCACTTTACTTAGATTTCACAGTGAGTAACCATAACTAGACTCTGCGCAGAAAGTGGTTTAATGTAAATACGAGCTAAAAGTTGATTACAGAGTTGTAGGTCGTAGAACCATTGACTGAGTAGTACTAAGTTAAGGGAAAACCAGAGGTGCTTTCAGATGAGTAAGGCATAGTGTGAGTCGATAAGCTACAGAATGAAACCCACTCTATGATTCCTTCGAAAATATTTTCTCTACTGAGTTCTGTATATTTGATTTTTTGATACTTTAGAGAAGATAATACAACAATATTGAGTTCACGAAGACCATATCTTTTCAAGTTGACATGATACTACCTTCACTTTTTATAAGAAACTACAGGTTCTTACGTTTTAACGCAGTGACGAAGTCTATACACAGATAGGTTATTAGCACATCAAGACACAAAGTATGAGGTAAAAGTACAACGGTGGATGAACTAAGGCTATGTAATCCGACAAATGAAGGGGACTTGGCGAACAGGTCTTTCGAAAAAGTCACAGACGGCTTAGTATCATAAGTTTTTAACGGGTAGAGACGTATAAATATCCATTGATCTCACATAAGTGTGAATGCCATTGACTTATTAAATATCATTTTACGAATACTCTGTTCTTTATAGTATCAACACAATCGTCCAGTGATGAAGATATTAAGCCCCATGTTGTTTATGCAAATACAATATATTTGAGATGTAGTTAAAGCAACCCTGAAGCCAATGGCATTTCCGAGTTTCGAATAACTAAAAACCCTGCGTGACTAACAGTGCCCAATGAAACTGGGTGACGTGAAAATAAGAAAAAGATAAAATATTCAATATCTCGAACTGTCAACCCATAAAGAGTACCAGGAATATCATACGGATAGATTAAACCAACCTACCATAGAGTAGCAATCAAGTGTTTTAGACAGGCACAACAAAGATACGCTTTTAATAAATATCGATAACAGTTTTAAAGAGCAATCGGAGATGAAAATATACCACAAATTCAGTGGTAGACTCGATACAGAGCTAGAAGGCTGCAATAGGAAACTGTAGACGTTACTATCGAAAAAATAAAAGCTTACACATTATAAAAACCCTGGTTCCATAAAGAGTATTGAACTAAACATAGATGTGAGAGTGAAACGACGGATAAGGGAATGCAAATCCTCCGGTATGAGAGATCGAAAAAACCTACAACAGTATTAAATAAGCACAGCTCAAGCCCAGTTAGCATAAGATCAGGGGACCCCCGAAGCACCCGAAGCACTTTAGGCTACTTCGAAGAAAATTATATGTTCACGAAACTGCCAGGAGAGCTACGAGACTGCCTCTAGGGTCCCGGTTAATGCTAGCTGGGAAGTATTGAAATCACTTGTCTGTATCTCTGAATTCATGAAGAGGACCGTAATGTATCCCCATGACGCCAGAACAATATCTATAAGAACTGATTTTCAAGATGTCTCATGTACTAGTGAAATATTCTCCATATAACTTCAGAACAATCACTGATATGAAACAAATGTGAGAGATATTACGTAATGAAAGGAAATGATCTTTTTTCGCTTTTTGCTCTGTAGAAGACTCATCACAAGCAGAAATAATAGGTAAGATACTATGGTTAGATTGCACCATTTTGCATAACACGAACTGACCTAGTAATGTCGAAATTCCCACCACCAAATCCAAAACTCAATTCGTATCAGAAATAGGCTTCTGTTCGTCTGTTGAAATTTATATATAGGCTACTGAAGCTGATCCATAAGAGTAAAAATTTATCCCTCTAATTATTCTCTCCTGATGCAAACTTTGGAAAGGCGATAATTGTTTCTACAGTGAGTTTCATAAAGGGCAGTGATTTTCGTACTTGTCGTGATTATCCTTGCTTTGTGTACTTGTTGCACCAAAAAGCATTCTTGGCCGATTTTAACTAAAAGTACCTTGGTTAAGGTTTGAAATTTTTGCTAAACTTTGTCCTGTGGAACTTTTTTTTACTCGTTGACTGACACTCGTGTTCACATTGTGACCATATTGTGTCTTAAACCTTTTTAATCAAAATACAATGGTTAGTAAGACTTATAAATGTGGACAACCAAACTGCTTGTTGCCCGTTGAGGAAGGAATGCAGTGCGATGAATGTAAAAAGTGGCACCATGAGATGTGTACACGTCCAAGTCCTACGGCATACAAAAGATACTCGAAGCCTAACTCGTATTGGCTTTGTATGCTTTGCTGTGCAAATAAGAAGTTACTAATTAAGGAGGCTATGAGCCTATTGGCTTTGGCCTGTAAGAGAAACGATGGTGGTTGCGCTGGTAACATGAGCACTGACGGTGAAGAATTTGCCAGTGTAGTACGTGCCGCTACCGGACCCGCTAAACACCCGACTGTGATTGGCGAGAAAGTGAAATCTCCGTTAACATCAACGCGGAGTGAAGTGCCGCTTGATATTGACATCGGTAATCATACACCTCTAGTGGAAATTGAAGACCAGGATAAAACTGTCACTGTTCCAAATAGTTCCAGTGTGGCTGTCCTGAGTGATGATAAATGAACTTCAGTACGGAGAAAAAGAAATGAGAAAAGAGCTGTAAGCAAAACGCAGCTGGTTAGCAAGTCATTGAAAGAGACAGTAACAGAAACAAAGACTCCACTACGTGTCAAGACAGATCTTTCTGAGAGGTCAGCCATTTTTCATAAGTTAAGAGAATCTCCCGATTAAGAACCAAAGGCTAGATTTGAACATAATCTCAGTCATATTAAGTCCTTAATAAGCAAACTACTTCCAGATACAGTTTCAGGAGTTAGTATATGTAAGCTTCATAGAATACGACAAAAGGTGGAGTCTGAATGTCCTCAGAAAAACCGCCTCTTGAAGGCTACATTCAACACGGTGGAAGAAAGGAACCTGATTCTAGTAACTCACGTAAACTGATTGAATCCGGAATATGCGTTCGTGAGGATCTCAGCCTAGCTGATCGTATTAAGAGACGAGGTGTGGAAATGAGCGTCGCCGAAACGGTGAAAGAAACCTCGTTCTTAAGGGTTTTCAAACTGCAAAAGTTCGGAGCAAAACGATCCCCAAGCCACTCTGGGCGGCAAGGGAAAGTTCTCCACAGACTTAAAGGTTTGCTACACAATAGCTCACAGCCTACCAAATCAAATGGCGGAGTTCAAGTCAATGGTAGATAAAGAAAAACCGGATGTTATTGCTGTCTCGGAAACTTCGGTAACGTCAGAAGTATTAGATAATGAAATTCAGTTGACTGGGTTTTTAACCAGTACGGCTGATAGATTAAACCGTAGGGGAGGCGGGGTTATCCTGTACACGAAAAGTTCCCTAACCATAAGAGTAGCTGAGACAGTGACATATGTTTCAGGGACATGTGAACTGGTGCGATGTAAGCTGAAATGTAGACGGAAAGATATTGAATTAGTTGTAGCATATCGCAGTCCAGAATGTATAGCAGATGATTTTCTCCTAAGTAAGCTTAAGTCCTGGTGTAACAAGAGTAAAAGCCTCGTAGTAGGCGACTTTGATGCACCGTATGTAAACTGGGTTAACTTAGAAGTAGGGTCATCGATAACGTCGTTCGACTGCAAACTGTTAGACACCTCGATTGGATTAGCTGTATTCCAACACATTAGAAACCCTACAAGATATGACTTGGGAAACTCTTCTTCTCTTTTAGATTTAGTCTTCACACACGGTGATGACGTTGGTCAAATGACTTTTCTCCCACCATTAGGGAGAAGTAACCATGCAGTCATCTTATTCAAATTCATGGCTGAGATTGCCTGTCAAACAGTTGCGCCGGCCCGTCCTAATATACGGAAGGCAGATATGGAGGCAATCAACTCCGCAGCATCGGCTGAAATCCGGGAAATAGACTCAAGAGCATCAGTGCAAGAGGCATGGACTCTATTCAGGCTGTTATTCAATCGAGTAACTCAACCATACATACCCTGGACTGTCCCAAAGAAAAAGAAGCACGGAAATCCTTGGATATGGCGGGATATTCGACGCTTACTAAGACAAAAGAAGAAATGCTGGGATGTTGCCATCCGCCTTGGCGCAGCAGGTACGATGGAACGCTACAGATCGATAAGAAACGAGTGTATAACGGAAATTCGGGAAGCTCAAAGAAAATATGAAATGCAGCTGGTACAATCTGCACTCAAGCAGCCCAAGAGAATATTCTCGTACATACACTACAAAACAAGAATGCATCACTGGATTCCCAACCTAATTAAAGTAGGAAGTAAATCTGAAATGATATAGGAAGATCAGGAAAAAGCAGAAGCTATGGCTGACTATTTGGGGCAGTTTTCACTCAGGAACCCACTCTTGAAAAGAACCAAACCAAAACAAAACAGAGTCAACAAACCACCTGCTCGCCGTGGACTTCGATCAAGACGATGTGCTTATGGCTCTTAGCACCTTAAACATAAAAAAGCCGACAGGACCAGATGAACTACACCCCAAAATTTTGAGATATAATGCATAATATATCGCGGCCCCACTGACTGTGATATTCAATATGTCACTTGACCAAGGTGTGTTACCTATGGACTAAAAGGACTCAATCGTCACCCCCACGCATAAAACAGGACCAAGACAAGTTTAATCGAACCACAAACCTGTAAGTCTGACCAGTGTTGTAGTTAAAATGTTGGAATGGATAGTCAAACGGACAATAATGGCATTTATGAAAACCAATAACTTGCTAAACATAGAACAATGTGGTTTTAGAAAGGGTCTGTCTCGTGCAGCGAACCTCCTTATAGCAAGGGAGTTTTGGATAAAGGCGCTAGACAACGGAAATTCAGTGGATGTTGTCTACATAGACTTCAGTAAGGCTTTTGACAAGGTGCCAACTAATAGACTGCTATCGAAGTTGGAAAACCCTGGTATTGTCGGACCTCTTTTAAAATGGATTAAGGATTTCCTAGTAGGTCGTAGACAGAAAGTAAGAATAAATTCCAAGTTCTCCATTTTGAGACCAGTACATAGTGGATTACCTCAAGGTTCCGTCCTAGGTCCTTTAATTTTTATAATGTATGTTAACGATCTCTCAAGTATAGTACAATCTCAAATGTTATTATACGCTGACAGCGTAAAGATCTGTCGAGTAATAAATGAAGACTTGGACGCAGGTGCTCTTCAGGCAGACTTAAATAATATGATTAACTGGTCTAAAGAGTGGCTGACGCCTATAAACGCGGCAAAGTGTGTCTACATGCACTTTGGGGATTAAATGATTAATAGGCACAACATAGGGGAAGTGCTATTGTAGTGGCATTGGATCATAATCACACAATCTTCAAAGCTGAACACGAGACTACTCGGAAAATAGATATTCAATATTTAACGCCGAGAAATACCTAACGATGGAGAAGGCGCGAACAAAGAATCGAATGAATTGAAGTTAATCGGATGGCATGGCTCGTCCATGCAGGCGTGGTCCCTCTGAATATTACCTTATATCTTTTATTCATATTAAATATATTGTTCTTTCTCTAGCCTAAGCTTGTTCTTCATCATGTATTGGTAGTTGTTACGAAACAGTGAGTTGGTGTAGACGATGATGTGACTTCCACGTAAGATCTTATAGATTAGGCAGTTATATCATGACAAATCTACAATTTTAGGATTAGGTCTATTATTAGAGCAGTACTAATATTATAGAAGACGATAATTCTACACTATCACCCGTGGTCCGGTCTCATAAGGATCTAGGGATGACAGTGATCCATGATCTTAAGACGACCGTCCATTGCCAGGAGGTAGACGCTAAAGGGTTTCGAACCCTCTGGGCTTTAAAACGGACATTCGCCAAGTTATATATTACCATGTTCACCACAGTATACACATCCTTAGTAAGAACTAAGCTTCAGAACTGCGTTCAGGCTGCAAGCTCCTGTCTAAAAGGTGACTCGGATATCCTTGAAAGAGTACAGAAGGCAGCTACCCGTGCAATTCCAGTACTTCGGGGTTTACCATACAAAGGACGGCTTGAAAAGCTGAACCTCTTTACTCCGTTCTATCTCAGATTAAGGCGAGATCTAATTTTGATGTACAGAATACTGAGAAATGATTTTGAACCTAACTTATTCTCTCTCCTTCTTCCCACTAGATCGGGACACCTCAGAGGACATAGCAGGCGAGCAGAAAAGCCATGAACGAGCAAACTACCCATGGCATACAGGTTTTCACACCGTGTCATCAATACTTGGAACCTGCTGCTTGAAGCAGTGGTGTCCGCACCTTCAATAGACTCATTCAAGAGAAGACTGGACACTCACAGAAGCATGCTAGAAAAGAAATAACATAGGTCGTAGGCCTTCTGTCTGTACTACACAAATGTAAATCCGAAAACGCCCAGAACTGGAAATAACATAGCAGAACGGACTGTATACATACCTTCTACTCCTTAAGAGTTGTCAAATGCTGGAACTCGCTGCAGGCTGAGCTAGTCCAAACGACTTCCCAAGAGCCCTTAAAGAGGAAACTTGACATATTCTTGAGGGCTAAGGATAGTATGTTGCCATGATCTACGAACATTTTTTTCTTTTCGTCTTTTATCCATAAAATACCCAGGATCCTGCCTGGAGGTGTCGTTGATCCACTGCTACTAGATACAGAAGCACGTTAAGAGTAAGTTTCTACTATTCCATCCAAAAGCATTTGAACCATTCAAATAACCTAATAAAGCTCTCTGAGCTAAGATCATGTGTAGTATTTGAACAATTTACCCTCACCCGGCGGTGAAAGATAAATCAATGCGGTGACAAGGTCATAAAGTGGTGCGTTGCTCAAACAGTGCTCAGCTGAAGGGTTTCCATCGTCTTATGGGACAAACGAAAATCGTCCATAAATTATAGTCTCACCCAATTTTTCTCCTACAAACCTCTGAGTAAGATGGAATACTTTCCTGTCAGTGTTGTGAATTGTCAAAAAACCTTTCACCTGACAAGATCAAATGATACCTTTAGGTCAAGAATATAAGCGAAGCCAGACAACAGCAAAAAATTGTTTTATAACACGATAAAGAATAAAAGTCTGGACCACACTCAGACCATAAATGTATTTTTGATTTCCTGGGATTTGCTATTCTACAGCAAATAATTGGTTATAGCAGATAGCGTCTCGGGCATTAGTTTATTTAAGCTCATTTCTTAGTGTTTATCACAAGACGAAATTTCTTGTACTAATTAAAATAAACAGCAGTTTTAAGACCGTTTATTCTCCATACTTTCAATGATGCTGCAACCAGTGCAACTAACAAGCTGCTATCACCGATTCGAAATATCTGAACGGTCGGCCTACCAATGTCTGTCGCACTTACCCCACTCCTCAAGGTCTTTATAGCTGATACATCGGAGTACTTAGAAATCAGCAAAATAATAATTGCGTGTAATCACACAAGAAATAGCCTTCATCTCTAATTGGTAAGGTATAATGTGCACACACATGGTCTAGTTATTAAGCTTCCTTCTTATTCAAACTTTTCACTCAAGCAGCCGGTTGTGCGAGTTTATAGTAAGACTTTGTATCAATAACAACAGGTAAGTCACATTACCAAAAAATTGTTGAGACAGCAAGCTCACGAACAGAGAAATTTGATGTAGCCATTACTCGTTCTCAATAAGAAGGTTGACAGGAATTCCTACAAAGCAAATGTCAATCGCCCCCCACTGCACGCACAAACTTTGTGACGCCCCGAAGTCCAACCACTGAACTGGACCGCGTACTCCTATGGTTGTATTATCGGTCCGGTTATCACCTGGGACAATCTAGGGGGAAATAAATAACAAACATGGAGTCAGAGATCGGATAAACATATTTAGTGCTTGGATGTTAGTGTCTCACCGATTCTCATAAATATAGTTTTAAGTGGAATAAACCTATTTTCGGTACACAGTAACTGTATTGATAGGTCACCGTTGTAATTCACCGATACTCTGCCATGTAAATCTGTATCAGCATCATTGAAACCACTTTAGTACTTAAATTCAGCTAAAATAAGTCAGTGTATCTACATAAATCTACAATCTTTCGGAAACCCAATTGGTAACGTTTTTATCGTCTGAATGAGACGAAATGCACTTTTAGGTCCAGGGTGTGCATAAAGGAAGATCATTTTTAAACATGATAAATGGAACGTCGAATATTTAGTGGACCAGTGTTTACTGCTTCCTCTGCAACATGAAAAACCCGGCTGAAGGAATAGATTTACTACCCCAACCCTTATCGCTGATATATGTATATATATGCCTCATCGATTAGAAATGAAAGCTATTTCTTGTGTGGTCACATCCACTTATTATTTTGTTAATTTATGATTACTCCGATATATCACCTTTTCCCCCAGAAAACTGGGTCTGACTCATCAGATTTTAGCTTAAGGCTCTGTAATTGGTGGGAGAGTTACATTAATAGCCCTTTCATTTTTGAGAAGTGTTAGTGGTGTGATGTTAATCGTCAGCTGAGACCTAGTGAATGATAGGTGAAGGGTAGCTGGGTTTTTTTAATTAACCCACCATGTTCAAATTATTAGGCTTAAAAATGATAATTCTTTTATTTCGTTGAAGTGTTTCTACTCACAAGAAAGTAAAATAGGCAAGCAAACCAGGAAATATTCAAGTTTGCGGTACTATTTTGGTTCAAATGGCAACACTTTAACCGTATGAGTCAGGAAGTGAGATGTAGTAAAGTGTTTATAAATTAGTAGTGTTGAAGATTTATTTCAGGCTGTATATCGACAGCTGGTAAGCCTGAAGTTACAAACTTGACAAAAAACATAAATCAGCGACATAGAACCTCGTCAAATAAATTTAGTTTTATTCGCCTATAGGATCTTTCAAAACATTCATAAGTCTTTCTCTTGTGAACTGTGAAAATTAGATTATAAATTCTGGAGAATGCCATTTCTGAAGGGTGGACGTGCTGCGGTGACAAGGACTAAAAAGTACTTAGAAGCTGGACGAATACTTCTGAATGATGGTGTCAAGATTATTGTCATCAATCATGTCCCCGGAGCAGAAATATCACATGGATGTGATGAGTTCATTAAGTGGCATTTACCTCCTTTACAATTCAGAAATCCAAACGTTCAGGTAATCATTTAATTCGCATTTCTAACTCACCAGATAATTACGTTCAAAAATATGTGTCCGACTCCATTTATTAAAATTTATCTTGAAAAAAACGAAGAACAAGTGGTGAATTGTGCCTTTCGAAAGAATCCCGATATCTATGATCACCTAATTACACTTCTTGGGAAAACTGCTTCATCTGAGAGTTCCTTAGTGAATGATTTGACTACAAAAAACCCATCAAGTTTTGGCACCGAGTAATTTTAAATCTAAAAAATCTAACAATTTCTTATTCAACTGTAGGTTCCCGCGCCAATGTATATGCGAATTATACGGTCAAATGCCTTGCTCGTCTAATATTGGGAAACCGAAGCTATGGCCAAATTTGGAATATACATTGCCTCCGGTGGATACAGAATGGTTTAAAAACGCGACGGATACTAGTGTTACAAATGATGGATAGTCGCTCAGTGTGCGTACATCTGCAACACATCATTACTCTGTTTCATCTTGTGCCGTTCTTCCTCTTTCTAAAGTATAACATATTTAGTACAATTTCTCAGAACATTGGATTTATTACAAGTTCACGCTATTAAAAATATCTTGTAAGACTATGCAACTATTATCGTTTTAGGCATCTTAGCTATGTAGTTACAAGGACCCAAGCCTAATTTAAATAGATCCAACAAACTAATTCCGACAGAATAATAAGTCTTTCAACAATAAATTAGTTTGACTTCAGTCCTATGAATCCGCTATATTTGAACAACACGGCTTCTATATCTTTTAGTTCTAATTTTTTATTCGTAAGATTCGCCTATGTATTCTGACACAATTACCATTGTTTGACTTACTATCAATAAATATTTTGTCGATCTTCCTATCAGCTATCATGTAATCCTGTTGTTTTGTGGGGCTAAGTTCTGTCTTGTGTTGCTACCGAATAAGTTTTCCCGATCAAATGTCTTTAGCAATTACATTATTATTTATTGGTAAGTAGGAGTTTTTAGCAGTCCAATAAAAAGTGGAAACGCATCCCTACACTAATGATAACATTAACATCTACCTGTAAGCTTCAAATAGGACAATTACCAGTACTCCACTTCCAATTAAATCAGTAGCTTAAAGACTGTTCACCAATGTGGTCTCTATGTAACCATTGAGAAGGCTGGTCGATTTAAAAAGATTATATTCTCATCACATACTTTTGTAATTAGTTGTTATTAAATATCTTCTTGATATGAAAGTGAAATGTCAGTTTGCGAAATTGCGCCACTTTACGTATTTGAATCTCAAAGTATGATTTGGATTCCTCGTATGACGAACAGCCCGATAATCGCTATAAAGCCTGCACTGACTTCTTAATTGCTTAGCACACGCCATAATTTTGCGTAGTTTACGTTGGCATCTGAACCACAGGAATAAGTAAACTTAGCAAAGAGAAATTTTGTCTTAGGACTAAATACGTCCTAGGAATGGTACCTCAAGTGATAAATTTGAACAAAATAGGAGAGATTTACAGAATGAAATGAACCTCAAAGCGTATGAGTTGCCTGTTGGAATACACTTATTCGAAGTAAGCTCTTAACAACAAGTTTAAGTATTAGTAGAGAGATGCTATGCTATGTGTACTCCTACTGTTAAAACTCTGGATAGGTCAACAACCTCAATGGACCTTTTGTATTTAAATTCACAAAACCACTAAGTATTGTCGCGTCAAATCAAAATAAATTAACCGTCTTTAACATCACTTCTAACGTGTTTGGAACGTATTTCTCTACTAAATACAAACTGTCGCTTCAGAGGCGACCGGCGTAAACGCCTTGACTAATGATACGGGATGAATTAGTTGAGCATGTTGATCACTTTGGAAGCTTCGTCTGCCCTGCAAGTTTGACGAAACCTCAAGACAACTTTCGAGGGCTCGGCCGGCTCTTGCCAACTTGTGGTGCAGACCAGAAGTCTGTTCGGAAAGTGAAAGGACGAGCATACTACGAAGTGTTGACATTCATAACTTATTAGTGTCCCGTCATTAGTGTATTCAAGCACTGATCGTATATTTTGGAACCATCAAGTTCAGGAGTAGAGGATTAGGTAGTCATAGAAAATCGATTGATAATGTAATGAATGTTCATAAGTTGAGATGGTTAGGATATGTATTACACATGCCAGCCCACCAACTGCATCGACGCGCGATGGCTGGTGTAGATGTTTGGAAGGAGGCGGCTAAATCAAGACGTGGCTTCAGTACACGAAGACACTGACTAATGGATTGAGCCATGTAGTAGGTGCGAGACACTTGGTTAGGATTCGTGTGATCATCGTGACCAATGGTATACAGATCCCGGGTGACAAGGCTTAGGATTATCTGCAATGATGCGCGTGTATCCACATTTTGTCTCCTCTCAGATTGTGAGTTTATGGGAAGTACATGTTTTCGTTAGAATCAAAATATCATATCATGCGAATCAGAAATATAAATCACACATTCTCCGGGTCTAAGCTCTTTACAAGTCATGAACTTCCCCTCTTAACGTCTTGACGCATCTACCGCTAAGTTTCTGAATCACGTTATAGATTTTGAATCATTACACTGGTCCATATTTTCTTCCAGAATCGCGTTTTCTACACACCTTCTTTCCTATGACCACCAATATTTTAACTACGTCTATTACCCTAAGGTTTTTAGTGAGAATTTCATCTCGCTGTGATGTGTGGTAACTTGAACTAATGTATACAAGTGTCAGGATCTACGTTCTTTGTAACTGTCTTAAGAGATCCGTTTTTGCCCTTCTAAAGCTATCTTCGAATGCCCGTTTAGGAATGTGTTAAGAAGTCAACAAGACGAGAAACAATACCGAAAGTAACAGGGAATGTAAACATGAGGAGTAAAGATTGAAAGGAAAATGTGATTGAAGAAAGAGACTTTAAGATCTATACTTGACTAGGGGTTAAGAGAAAAGTACAAAATGAATATGACTGGGACCGATTTCGCGACGTCAGTCACTAATTACTTCGTAGGTTGTTCAAAACGCAAGAAAGATTGAAGCGCGAGGAGCAGGCTGCGTTTCGTTCCAGTCGATGATGTATTGATCATATTTTCACCCTCCGCCAAATGTTAGAACACAGTCATAATTATCAAAGGCCAACAATCGTAGTGTTTCTTGATGTTAGGGTTGCCTTCGATTCGTCGGACAAGACTGTTCTCTGGGATTGTTTATTGAAGAAGGGTGTGCCTGAGGAGTTTATTAACATCTTGAGAGCCCTATATAATACAAACACCTCAGGTAGAGTGAGGGCATACAACCACCTCTCTCCATTGTTCCATTCGAACAGTGGGGTTAGACAGGGCTGCCCAATCTCACCATTCCTCTTCAATTTTGGTACCAATGACGTTCTGAAAACAGCTCTGTAAGCAATGGCAGCGAATTCTAACTCTTAAGGAGTAGAAGGTATGTATGCAGTTGGTTTTGCTATGTTGTCTCCAGCTCTGGGCGTTTCCCCCTGAGGTTTTTTGGGACTAAGCTTAATTGGGTTTTATAAGGAGATGTCTAGAAATGTTTAGGATACTGTAAGCCACTAGAAGGTCACCTCTAAGACGCCTTAACTCTAATGGGTAGCGGTTCAGTCATTTGAGGCTCTGTTCTTAAGGCTTGAATGAGGGTCCCTGAACTGATATCGTGGCTCGCCGTTGGATAAGCTCCAAAGTGCCCTTATCCTTTTGGAGTGACGGAGGGAATACTATGTTTCCGTACTCTAAATGGGGACGAATAAAACTGTTGAAGATTATGTGGAAAGTTCTGTCAAACTGGCCAAACATGCGCTTCAATGTTACCAGTGCAAGGTTTGCTCGAAAGATATTTTTGTCACTGTCAGCGTAAAACTTCAAATCGTAATGTACCAGGACTCCTAAATCTTTTTCAACTCGGTATACTAATAGAGATTAGTTCGTTAAGTTCTAACCGTAGTCTGCAACATGTCTCAGATGGACTAATCTACACTTTGAAGTGTTGAAGGTACATCCTTTGTCATCTTCCCAACAGGTATCGCGCACTTTTCTAACGAGAAGTTTAGTTCTATCGTGATTTGCATTTCTCAATATTTTTTGTGTTCTTACACAACAAAAGTACCATTTCTTATCTAAAGAATCTATTCTGAGCTGTACGTTTGATAGATTAATTTTTTTGAGTTTCATCCGACTTAAATTTTTAGTGTACTGTTTTTTAACGGTTTTCGGCTTTTTCTAGCATTTACAAAACAATTTACGTCAATATAGTTATGAAAAAGTCCTGCAAATGACTTGGATATCGTTTTGCTGTTACATGTAGTATGCAGTGCGACAACTGCATAGGTTGGTTCCATGAAGCGTGCACAGATCGCGCAGTGACTGCTTAAAACAGACTCAGCGAGTCGGACCATATCTCGGTATATGTCATATGCATCACAGATGCTGAAGTTTTTCTGAGTAACGTCACTGTCCTATTGACAGGTCTGCGGAATAATTTATTAACAAACTTGAAAAAGACAGTCAGCTGATTCTCTCGACACGGAGTCCCTAAATGCAGCGGTGGTTCCCGAAAAATTTGTAGGTGATTGGACCCCCATTACCAAAGTTAAAGAGGACCAGGCGTCACCACATAAGCTGAACATCTCCAGTATTGTGTGGAAAACAACTGGTGACTTGGCCGCACAGTTTACCATCAAGAATGTCCGTTCGGTCATCAACGAGCATAGGAATCGGAAATGAGCTTCGACCTCCAAACAAAAACGTTCTCGACATGAACGCACCAAAAAACCAGAAAAAACAATAACGGATCGTGATGACTGTCTCATAATCATGAAGCTTAAAACAACCCTGAACTTCCCCTCAGTTTGCAGGGCCAAAATGACTGGATGCTCTGAGGACAGTTAGATAAAAAGCTTGAAGGTCTAAGAATAGAGCCTTTGACAGTCACACAGCTCACTCGATGAAAGGAATCTAAGCATCAAAATCGTCCGAGGCTACTTCGTGTAACACACGAGAATGCAACAGACGTAAAGGATATCCTTACTAGCTAGTCACTTACTGAAATCCCATGGGAACGTAAGAATACTGCCTGCTATATAGTATTCTGAACGCAATCTCATCCGGAACATCCATAAGGAATCTTGAAAGACGTTTGTCCGTGGAAGAAATATGATTGTGCAAGATGTACCGGAAAACACGGACTCTGGTAAAAAAACTGTGGTGTTAGGGAATGGAAATTCATCAAGCAATCCTTGAAGCTCAAAAATATACTGACTCAACAAATGACGAAATTAACCAAGAAAGACGGAGATTCTAGACCCCGGCTAATGAAGATATATCTCCCATCCTCCCATATGGCGGCTGCAACTCTGGAAGCATTTCGTACCAACAGGCGTCTGTTGCCAAGTGGAATCCATATGCACCCGGATAAACTAAACGATGCCAGGATCAAGCAC